TCAAATAGGAATCCTTACACAAGTTTTTAGAGTAATTTTGTTCCAGCCTCCATGTCTGTTCTCTGTGCCATTGTGATGTACGGTTTACTCAGTTTACCGCATTGGCATATGACCTGCCAGAGCAAGTATTTTTTGGCGAACTTGTCCACTTTCTCTTTCCTTATGTCTTCCGGAACATCAAACCGTGATTTGGCAACGTAGAACTCCAGCCCCGGTATTTGTTTTGCGTTTGCCTTGATGCAGGTTTCGTCATCCATAACCACACACATCGGTTTCGTTAACCACTATCGATACAGCTTCCTTGCGCGGGATTTGGCCGCCGTGTTTTGTTGATCACGCCGGTTCGGTGCCTTTCGGACCTTGAATACACGAAGCCCAGCTCGTTTCATGGTTTGCTGAACGAACCAGGCGGAACACTTCGCCTTCAGAGCCGCGTCGCGAATCGAAAAGTTCGGATTACGTTTGAAATAATCCAACACCTTCCGGGCCTTCACAGGGTCAGCTGTCTTCGATTTTCTTCCACTTCCTGCCCACCGCTCGGTCGTCTGGGACTCCTTAAGCGATTTTACCACCCGAGACACAGTTGTATGGGTGATTCCCAGTTGTCTTCCAATCCATCTCATGGTCGCAGTCGGATTTTCCATGACGGCCCACAAAATTCTCCGGCGATTTTCTTCTTGTTCCGATGACATCTCAATAACCACTGAACCGATTGTTATGAAATTTTGCGCATGTAAAAAATTCACTCCAAACTAGTAATACTCAGATTTTCATCAATTTTTACCCACGGATAAAAAAGTTACACACGGATAAAAATGGTGCATTTTTTTCGAGTACAAGCCTTACTACCCATCACAGTATACTCAACAGATGGCGGTAGTGTTTTAGTGACGATGTTTTATATTGAAGAAGGAGAAGAAACTATTTGAAAGGCTCAATCGCGTTAGCTTTACGGAGCCTTCAATCATTTTTTTTTTTTCTTCTTTATTAGAGAGATTTTTAGCCTAAGGCTAGTTCATCTCTTTTAAAAATTACAAAAAAGAATTGGGACCTCAAAAGGAGGATCCCAATCTTAGCAAGTGGGCATTTAGCTTAATTATATAAAATATTGTAAAAACACTACCAAAAGGGCCAACGAATTCAAAAGCACAAACAGAAAACACTCAAATGTTGTAAGCCGTGACGTTGTTGACCTCTTGCAGGGCAATCACCAGGGGGGACGCACCGCTGCAGAGGAGTTCCAACTCCGCCAAGTGGAGAAAGTAGCCGCTGATATTCCATTGGAGCATAAGATTCACCGGAACCGGTAGGGCGGGGGTAGGAAACCCCCGCTCCGATCCGCTGGTTGAAGGTCGTTCGATTGAGTGGTGATGGCTCATTGCGTAGTAACTGGAATTTGGGGGTCTTCCAGTTGGACTTGCTGCGGCAGAACTTTGTGCCGAATGAGACGGATCCCCACCAGGGGCAGGTGGAGTCGTTCCACCCACCCGGGGCAGGGGCGTCCCAACGGTGGTGAAGAAATCTATCGTTGTATTTGAGCTTGGAACTATGTTTGAGGGTGAGCTACTGGTTTGGGACTTGAATCCCTCTTTGTCCTTCGGGGAATGGGAACAACTGCCCTTATCCGTCCCGATATTATGCTGTGCCTTGAATCCCGCGTTGTCCGAAGGGGAATGGGGGCCGAGGCCGCCCTTGTCCGTCCCTCTTCCAGGTTCGCCGCAGCGCCGGGGGGTTGTCGCCGGTTCCGGTGTGGAGAAGACGTCCGCACCGACGGGTCCCCGGCTACTGTGGGCTAGTACTGGGTTCTTCGCTATTTGCATCTTTGTCCGAGGGTCCCAGAGGTTACCCGACAGTTCCGGTTGGGGTATATCTTCCGCACTGCCGGTGCCCTGAGTACCCACGGCACGGATATTTTCATTCGGTTGGCTCGGACACCGAGGGGGGTCCGAAGATTCCGGTTGGGGTAAGACTTCCGGTTCGACGGTGCCCCGGCTATCCGAGGCCAAGCGCGAACCAGTTGCTTGGTGGGTGGTGGTGGCTGGTGTTGGTAACGAAAAAGAAGAGTAGTCCGCGTCCATGGCGTGGTCGGTTGCCGGAGGGTGTGTGGGGGGACTTAGAGGCTAGTTGGTTTTGGTTTTGCCTGCTATTTTGCCACTCCTTCCAGTTTGCGTGGGCGTTATCTTCGTGAGGATCGCCTTTTGCACTTTGGAAGCTGGGGCATTTCGGGGGGAGGGGGTGGTTGGGTGGGTCGACGAGCTTTATGGGTCTTTTGGCCGATTGGGGGGTTGAAAGGGATTTCAACGAGTGTTGTGGCATAGGGGTGTCGGGTTTCTGGCTATGTTTTGTGTAGGGGCTGGTTTCAGGGGTGAGGGTTGTGTTCGCATCGGATTCCGATGAGGTCGAGAAGTCTCTAGACACAGCGATGACTTCTTCTTCGGCCTCCTCGTACTCGTTCGTGGTGGGGGGTTTTTCAGAGCTGATTAGGGGGAATGGTTGGGGGAGCAGTTGGGGTTGAACAAGGCTTTTTGCTGGTTGGTTGGTACGGGCTACGACGACTGGTGTTTGAACGGCGGGTTGTTGAGGTTGGTTGCTTTGGGTTTTGACGACTGTTTCGAGCTCGTTCATCCTTTGTTGCGTGTTTGCAAGAACGGTCACCACTTCTTTCATCATGTGTTCGAAGTGGGCCGCTTGCGCCTTCAACATCTCTTGAAACGCATTGATGGGTGCTTCGGTTGGTGTCGGAGTCGTGTTGATGGGTACGGGTGCGGGGTTGCTAGTGCCGGCCATCTGCAGTGCAGCTTGCAGCTGCGCGATGACGGCGTCCTTTTCGCGAACCATGTTGGCCAGTCCTTCAATTCGCTTTTCCATCTCGGCGAGGGCACTTTGCGTCCCTTCGTTCGTCACATTTGCATAGGAGTTACTGCTGTTACACCGTTCAAACAAGTTTCGCGCTTCCGGGTACGAAATCCCACGGTCAACCTTGATCCGTTGGATCTCGTTCTCCCTCTGGTAAGCGGGGCATGATCGGTGCCGCAGCGAGTGCTGGTCGGTGTCGCAACGGGTACAGTAGGCCGGGTTGCTGTATCAACCGGGTGATCTCCTGAACAGTTCCCGCATACGGGTTTCCCCACGCGACATCGTAGCTTTGTATGGCCGAAGGCCCAGCAGTTGAAACACTGCATGGGCGACGGGTAGTACGGGCGTGTCTTGCAGCGGGAGTAGCCTACATAAAGGTACTCGGGCGCGCATGTGCCATGGCAAGTGATGATGATCGAGGCTGTATTGACTATTCCCTTGGCATCTTTTCTGGTGATTCTTCTGATCTCCTTGACCCCCTGCTCCCCCAGGTCTGACATCAGATCCCCATCGCTCTTCTCAACAGAATCCCGGCAGGTAATGACACATCGGGTCGTGTTGAGGAAGGGATGCGGTATCACCTCAACTTCAAAGCCATTTGTTAGTTGCTTCATCTGTAGGAGACTCCGATAGTGATCGGCGCTCCTAACCTTCAGGGCGTAGGTGGCCCCTTGGGATTCAGGGAACCCACCCTCGATTTTTGCGTTTAAATGCGCAGTTACCGATTTCCGTATCAACACGGGGAACTTTGGTAACGGACGCCTTGTTTTACCGTCCTGCTGTACCAGCCCCTGTAGCCTCAGAATTCGAACTTCCCCGTGCTTGCCCTCCGGGTCCATAAAAAACGGTAACCTCGGTCCATTCGGGTCTATTCCCGGGGGGGGGGATCCCCAGCCTTCAATCAATTTTTCATTGTTTGTAACAAAATTCACTTAATTCTATGTCTATTAGGAGCGAATTTTCGCGGCTTACCCGAGGTTAGAGGGGTACATTGTCGATGAATAGAATCAGTGGAGGAGCTTGGGGTGGTTCCGTGTTCGGTAAATTTGACCGAAATCAGAACAGCTGAACGTTCGGTAAAACTTTGACCTTCATTTTAAAGGCTATTGAATTTGAAAATAATTTGAAAACATGTTTAACCTTGTTTAAATGATCAAATCTTGTCAATTTAGTGGAGATTTTGTTTCAAAGTAGCAAATTAATTTAATTGCATAAATTTTACCGAACAGTTCAGCTGTTCAGATTTCGGTTAAAATTACCGAAGTCGGCGATAATTTCTAAGTGTGTGGGAATATCAGGAAAATTGCTGGATCTGCTGCTCTCTGGATTCCGACTTTCGCAAAATTGTCTTCCAATATATCTTAGAAATTTTATTCCAACGTCTCCTGGAAGTTTATTTAATTTTCTACCGGATATCTATCGAATTCTCCGAGAAGTTTCTATCGTCTTCCTCTGGAAGTTTCTCCATAAGCTATTCTCCGTAGGTTTTTTTTTCCGACGTCAATTGGAAGGTTTTTCCGAGCTTCTTCTGGCATCCCCTGGGAATTGATACTCCTGCAGTTAGCTCCTGCTTTCTGAAACTTTTCTTGCCTCATCCAAATGTGTCCTCCAAATTATCCCCAGTAGCTTGTCTTAGCAGTTCCGTGGATATTTTTATGACTTTTCTTAGAACCTCCTTCAAATTTCCTCCAAGAGAACTTCTTTCTTCTGGAAGATATATCTAATTCCTTCAGAAGCTAGTTCAAACATTCCCCAAAAATTCCTTCAGACTTCTACTGGAAGTATATTTTGCGTTCTTAGTACAAAAGATTAAATTTTCACCTTCAAAAACAGCAAAAGTATAAAATTAATATAAATAGTAAATACCGACACCGATAAGCTTAAGAACAATTTGACAACGCTGGAAGTAAGTCCCCAAGCAGTAGATGAAATACGCGTTTTTAATCGTTAATACCATTACCGTTAGTTATTTCCTCCAGAAACAACGCCACCTCCGCCACAACCACCGCATGCATGTTTCAATCACAACACACGTATGATCCCAATTTTTGTGGTAACCTTCGTCCGTTGTATGGAACGATCCACCCTCATCTACCGGTCTAATGCACACGCACTATCCCACCCTTCGTTCTCTGCATCCACAGCTGGAAAAGAGGCCCTGGCCGACATCGAATTCACCGTCACGACGCTAAACTGTGCCCACCCAGAGGACAAGACTGACACGACACCGGTCCACGAGCGGAAGCCCCGCTTCAGCAGTCTCCGCAAAACCGGTGCCCTCGGGAAAGCCGTCCGTAACAAACTGTCCAAATCGGTCTACAATAGTCAAACCGCCATCGGAAATACCGGCGGCACTGGACCTCCGTCCTCCGGGGATCGACCCTCATCCGGTGTAACGAATTCTTCCGTCAGCTCAAAGTCGCAGGACGACGAACGGCAGTCTACCGAAGGTGGTCATACCGGAGGGGATGGTGGAGATGACAATCACCATCATCACCATTATTATCATCACCATCAGCATACTCCGGTGACTGGCAACACGACACCCGGTTCAGTGGGTAATCACAGCATTGCAACGCCAACCGCCAGCCCCGGCGAGTCGGATGTGATCAAGGCATCCTCAACGGCCGTCGTCAAACCGGTCAAGAAACGCTCCAAGCTGTGTATGCTTTTGTGACCGAAGTATTACGAGGGGGACTCCTCAAGCAACAACAACAACAGCCACGGAAACAAGGAAAATTCGGTCTAGGTCCAACCGTGTTGTTAGGTCCGCAGACCGCCGCCGTTTAGCTGTGTTTCCATATTAGATATGTGTAGCTGTGTTTTTGCTGGGATAGGTATTTACTATAATAGTACGACTATGTATGAATCAAAAGAGCACATATTTAAACAAACGCAGCAATGTAACTCGAGAACCCCAAAAAAAAACAGAAAAGGATGTGTATGATGTGTCGTTCGTAGAATCGCACAGAAGTACCTAGATGTCAATCAAACAGATCCACATTTTTGGAGGAATGTATTTTATATACATGTTTAACAAAAGACGGAAGAGAAGCATCCTCTTGCTGAGCAGCTTGGACTTCATCTAGCTAACTATAACTTTCTGAATGCAATATCTAGTTTTTAATGGAAGATCAAAACTTAACTCTAACCAATTCTCTTTTCGCAAAATCTTTGTAAAATAGGAACAATCTTAAACGGTGCTTTCTCGACTTAGTAGTAGAGTAGACTAACTTTTAACACACCCTTCAAATGCTGAAGGCAGCTAGGTGATAAGTTCTGAACGTAAAGCTCTCCAACACCATTCACAAACTCCTGTGGTACTTATGGTTCTTAGGTTTTAATCGCTACCAAGAGTAACCCTTAGGCACGTCAATTTACAATGTTACCTTTACACATACCCACACCAAATAGAAGCTGTTGCAAATCCAAAACAAAAATAATAACCAACTAACTAAGAACAACGCTCCTCGAAATGAAAGTGATTTGTGTTGAACGCAGGCAAACAAACTGATCTTGAACGTTATACTAGTCATTTAGGTTTAGTAGGAGATTTTAGGCTAAGTGCGGCGACTAAGACGACGTGAAAATGTATGGTAAATTTTATATTGTTCGGCTTTATGCGACTGTTGACTTTCACAACAGAATTCCCTAAACCCACCCCCCCTCATTGTGAAATGAAATATAGTGATGTTCAATAAAATTAAAAAATATAGATACCTAGCTGCTTTTCCGGTGACTTGTGTTCGCAACACTCGAGCCCTGAATGAAAAGTCCTTTATTTACGTAAAGTTCTATGTTCCCGAAGTTCATGTTTCGTTGTATTTTGTAGTTGATTGTTATTGCATTGTTGTCTAGTTTAAAATCTATATTGCAGTTATAAAGTTACTAATACACTGGTGGAAATTAATATAAGGATACTTTAATAAAAATGGTTCCTCCTAATTTTAAGAACCACATAAAATCTTAATTGTATTTAGAAGCCAATAACAGAAACAATCAATAGGGGTAACAAATGGATATGTGATTTCCTGTATCGGAAATAAAGATAAGAACGCCATACTGAAATGCATGAGAAATTGGTGATACTTTTAGCATGATTCAGTCAAAAATGATTGTGACACCAAAATAATCAAAGAGTTGTTTCGAATAATAATTGAACTTGATTTTTGCACAGTTTTACGGAGATACAATCAGCAGACGTTCCTTAAATACACGAACATCATTTCTCTGATTCTGAAAATTTGAAAGTGTCCTCATATTAATTTCCACCACTGTTTACCTCACGATCATTTTAGCTTTTCTATCAATCAAATATACTGCTAGTGACTGTTTTGTGACAATAATCAATCAAAACTTACGAGCAATTTTATTTCAGTGATAAATCCTTGTTTATTCCTCTACATTTAAAATTCAGTAAAATTATAATGGTAACCCATGTGATTTTCATTTTGTGCATCTTAAGACATATTTTTGAATCATTGGGTGCTGCACCACTGCGTCCTACTTCACTTCACTTCGTCATATTCCGTCTTCTAGTCGGCCTTTAATGGTTATTCCAATATTTATCTTCACCAACCATAAACTTGGCTGAATGATTGAGGATAAATTTGGCTCTTTTCGAAGACAATAAATCAACTCTTCCATTTTCTCATACGAACGCTATGGGACAAGTACAATCGCGTCAACTGCAGCTCAAAGGTTAATGCTTCGAACGCATTTGATAGCGAAGATTATATCCTCAGAAGAAGGGTTTGTGTATTTGCTCATTTTTCCATGCGTTGCTTCCACCTTCATTCAAGCGCAGCGCCACTGTATCTGTCGCTTGGATTCTGGCAATGTTGCCAGTCTGCTTGATTTGTTGTCTTCGCTTTTTTTCAATTACGATAACATTTCTCCGCAGACAAACAGACGTAAGCTTTTCTCCTCAATCGTCACCCAGCGGAAATTCACTCGTTTGGAGCTCGTTAGTTGGGCCTCCGCTGATAGGGGCATGGATTCCAATTCCCAATTTGGTTCTTTCATTTTAAAAACAGTTTCAGTTTTTATAGTTCATCTGAAAGAGCTTCGTTTTCTGACCACAACGACATTTTTGTCGAACCCATAGACTTTCATCTCGATTTTTAAATCAAGATCTATAGAAAAATAATAACTACACTGTTTGACACTAAACTAACAAATTGGCTGTTCCCCCTCTTACAAAGTGCCACCACTAAGATGGTGATTTTTGCTAATGTAATCATACTCAGTGTAGAGTCGGTGTATAATGAGTCACGCCAAGAGAAAAACAGTTGAACTCGCATCACGGTTTTCGAAAGATTCCCTTTCTTTTAACTTGGCAACAGAGGACTTCTGCATCAACTTCAATGACTTCTAGCGAGGAAAAAAATTAACAGCTGTAGTAAATCATTATATCAGTGATTTTGTCGAATTATCTTAAGGAAAAATAGTAGAAATTGTCATTACTGATCATTACAAAACGTATCGCATGACAAATGTAATGCTCACTGCGTGTATATGATCATTTCTTCGGTTATATTTAATATTTAATTGCAATACCTTTCGTGGACCTTTCATAGCATCGTAATGCTTGTTTACTTTGCACGATAGGTAGCCGGTTTGACAGTTCAATAGGTAGACTTGGCTTCACTCTTGGCGTGACTCATTATACACCGACTCTAACCATACTTATTTAAAATAGTTCCAGTGCTTCAAAATTGATGAAGTTTTGGATTTCGGTTCTATTTTTAATGCTGATTACGAATATGCATTTACCTCAATTGGAAGATTGCCGCAAAAGCTCAACGCAGATGTCGCCACTGCATGATGATGATAATGTTGACAGACTGCATATAAAATTCGTGAAAATTAGCATTAAATCATAATTTTCATCAAGCCTACGTAAAATCCTTCCAATATAACATTCGAATTGAAGAAGAAAACGTTTTTACGATCAGACTGATGTGATTGTGCATCTTTGACTTTTCCAGGTGAACTTTCATAAGATATATTCATTTCATTTCACGGCTCCATCAATGCTGCATCGTAAATATGATGGTAAACAGAAGTAAATTGCTCAATTACTCAAAATAAAGATGATTTGTCATCTTGTTATCACTTTGAAGACCGTGCGTGTTGAGTAAATCAAGTTCCGTTGCGTTTTCCTTCGAAAATTGTGAGTATCAATATGTTTGCTTAGAAAAGGCCAAAATTAACATTTATTGAATATTGGCGTCCTATACAACCAATTCTCCATTACCACCAGCATGATACAACCTTTCCTAAGTAAATTAACTTTATTTCCACTTTCATCTTAGTGTAAATCCAACCCGGGGGCAACTTGACAACTCCAGTATACTGCCAGTGTACCCCGATAGTTTGGTGCTGATGGTTCTGTCAAATTCACAAGTTTCAGAAGTGTTATCTGAATAGGGCGAATGCAGAAATGATGTACAGTAAATGAAAGGTTTAAAATTAATCTTATTGTCACGCGCTCCCCAAACCGGTATGCGCGTGTGGTACACGTTAAGTCCGACGTCAAAACTAACATTAGTGACATAGGAAGTGGATGCCAGTGAGAAATGTCATTTTCATTTTCACAATTCATAATCAGTTTATGAAACATTTTTATGTTGTCTCGTATGTCTTTGAACAGAACAGAACCAAATGCTTAAACATATGATTTTTAAACGAAAATATGTGATTGTCAGCGAATTAAACCAAACAAATGAGAATTGACCGCGGATCCTTTCGGTGATTGCGATTCTATTGCTATTATCGTTGATGATGAACAAAGAAAGCAAACAAAGAGTGTTATTATTACAGTATTCCCCCGCTAATCCGACAAATTTGTGGCCGGATTAGTTAGGTTGATCCGATAATCTGACTGTCAAATCCATACAAAACAATGTTACCAACCTAACATTGTAAAAAATCTCCATAAGATACCATGATGTCGAATTATCGAGTCGTCGGATTAACGAGAGTGAGGGGATACCATAGAGGTAACTCTAAGACCACTGGGTCCCGAAGAAAATCATTATTATTTTTGGCTCACTCAGTACCAGAACAACGGTCCCAAGCAGTCCCAAGCTATTTCACTCACCCCTGCATGTTCTGCATGAATCCACACACCCCTGATGTTAGCTGTCAAACTTTCATAGCGAATCAAAACAAACATAGTGTAGTAATAGAATTTCAACTAGAATAGGGTACGTTAATCGTTTGCTTGGGACCAATAGGCTACTAAAGTGGTGAGCCAATTTAAAATCGTTAGTTTCGTATTGATTGTTGGGGATACTGTTTACGCAGCTAGTACTGCATAATGTACAATTTGCAGTACTATCTTAAAATAGTACAACCACAAACGAAGTGACAGACGGAGCGGCTCGAAAACTTTGGTGACGAACCTGCTATTGCAATTTTTCAGTGTACCACATATCATTTAGCCAAGCATTATCCGAGACTGTGTGACAGTCAAATGTCACTTTTGCTGAGATCTCAGTGAAACTTATTTTTGCCGAGATTTGCTAAGTGTGTACCCCTAGAGAGATACACGGGGAAGTTAACAATTTTTATTCATTCGGCCCGTGGCAAGCTTTTATCAGACAGCTGTGCTCAAAGCAATAATCTGAAGGCTGTTCAATGTCAAGAGCAAAATATAGCTGGAGAAACCAAAGTATTTGTATTGCCATTCAATGATATAAGAAGATGAAACGCGGTTCAATTTGTGTGAATTTATTTAATTTCACCACGAAAATCATAAATTCGCTCTTTTCATATGGCATTCTTGCCTGTTGTTTGACGTCCACACATGGTAAAACAAAAAGTTGATTTCCCATAGAGAAATATCGTTGCGGCTGTGAAGGACAATCTCTTTGTTTACGTTGTGTGGCGACATCTACGATTTGCAAGTGGGTACGTGAAATTAAGGTTATCTGTCACCTTGCCGGGGACTTGTGTAAATCGCACATATTCACCATTTTCCGAAAAATACAGCTGCGCAGGAGGTAACCTCTCGCTGTGGGTGCAAACTTGTTATGCATAATTTTCCATGAAAACCTCTCCGATCCATACCGAAATAATAACAATTAGTTTTCAAACACGTTTTCTTACACGATTCAAGCAAAAGTTTCCACGGGAAATTATTAGTTTTTTTCTTTATGGACCGATTTGCCTCAAAAATCGTCTGTTTTACTTGGAGAATTTGGAAACTATCCTCCTTCTAGTAGTTCTCACTTCGAAATGTAGGAGGCGAAAGCTTGGAAAAGTTTCACTGCAAGACGCCAATACCCTTAAAGAACCCAATTGAGAAGCAACTGGATGTCAAAATCTCAAATGAAGGGGTTAGAAGGAAAGGGGTGTAAGTGACTTTGCTCGATTCTCTTCATTGACTTTCTCTTTCGATAGCTACCTGGGGCGGGACGTGCTGTCAAATCAGCCTACTGATCATTCTTGTATGAAATTGGTTCCAAACGTAAACAAACCCTATAGGTTTCTTATGGCTTATTTACATTTGGAACCAGTTAAGTTTGATAAAGGAGGTTCTGATCTAGCATCCACAATGGCACAAGAATCAAAGAATGTGTTTGCAGCTGAATTATTAACGAAAGAGAAAGTCGATGAAGAGAATCGATCAAAGTCACTTACACCCCTTTCCTTCTAACCCCCTCAAATTAGATTTGTCAATCATACAAAAAAACCTCCAGGGATAAACATACGCGTTTTGAACTGCCCAATAAATGTAAAGAATGTATACATATGGCATTTGTTCGAAACATTTGAAATTCATTTGAAATTCTAGAAGAAAACAAAAACATATGATGTAGCGGCGCCGGTGGTGTAGTGGTAAGCGTGATTACCTCTCACCCCAGCAGGCCTGGGTTCAATCCCAGTCGGCGTCGCCGGGATGTTCTGATGCATAACATCGCTGATCACGCCTTTTTTTCGGAAGGGAAGTAAAAGGAAGTGCACTGAACGAAAACATCCGCAATACTTCGACTGATTAATGTATTGCTCGAGCCCTTTTTACAATATGCTGTCGAATTTCGGATGATTTCCTTATGGTTGAATTCGTCATCAACTGATGAGCATCAATATGACTGTCCTCCAAATAAAGGATGATATTTATTTGAAAATTATCTGTAAAACTAAATGCTAAAGATTAGATTATTAATTTGATTGTTAACATTTCCATATTGAATAGCCATGAACAGCCATTGATCATGGATACAAAAAGGAAGTGTTGGTAGAGGAAACTTACTCTACCACGAAATAGACAATTTTCGGTTTCCATGATTTACCAATGTTCGTACCACCTCTGAGAGGGATGGCTATGCTTCCACCTTCCAACGTTCGATAGAATTGTTTACATCCTCGTTTTGAATGATTTGCGTTAAGGGGCTGAACCAATACCAAATGCATTTAAAACTAAGATGACTATTATTCTGCAGAGAGTATTACCATAGAGGTAACTCTAAGACCACTGGGTCCCGAAGAAAATCATTATTATTTTTGGCTCACTCAGTACCAGAACAACGGTCCCAAGCAGTCCCAAGCTATTTCACTCACCCCTGCATGTTCTGCATGAATCCACACACCCCTGATGTTATCTGTCAAACTTTCATAGCGAATCAAAACAAACATAGTGTAGTAATAGAATTTCAACTAGAATAGGGTACGTTAATCGTTTGCTTGGGACCAATAGGCACTTAAGTGGTGAGCCAAATCGTTAGTTTCGTATTGATTGTTGGTATTACGCATTCCAACTGAAGGCCCTATCCCTTTTCATAACAATGTTCATCATGGATTCGAGAGGAAAATCATCTGATTTCAAAACAACCGTCATCCGGTTGCAGCTACCATTCAAAAAGGAGATTTCGATGTTTCGATTTGAATGATCTGAGGTTTCATTCGAACAGAGGACGGTGGTTTGGTACAGTTTAGGAAAACAAACCAATGGAAAAAAAAAAAACATGTGAGAGGGTTAGAAGGAAAGGGGTGTAAGTGACTTTGATCGATTCTCTTCATCGACTTTCTATTTCGTTAATAATTCAGTCGCAAACACACTCCTTGATTCGCGTGCCATTCTGGATGCTAGATCAGAACCTCCTTTATCAAACTATATGGCAGAAATAGCGCAAAATCTGTTTATAAAACTGTGGCTATCAAAAGAGAAAGTCAATGAAGAGAATTGAGCAAA